CTACCTCAGCCCTTGTGACTCTAGCAGATCCTCCTTTCATTTCTACATAAGGTGCTCTTGAGAAGGCTCTGAAATGGCTCCATGTCATCTCTTTTCCACATGGTCTACATTTTATCCACAAGAGCCACATCTAGGCCTGAGCATTCGTACACTTTTGCTCCACAAATGATGACAATGCAGCTAACTCCCTCTTTCTGTTCTGTTTCTTTAGACAGATCACCATAGTCTCTTATCTATAACTTCACCAGGCACCGAAGAGGGTTTGCACATGAGACTTACAACACAGTAATAACTCTCAAAAATCTCTCTAATCTTAATCTCTTCTTTTGGTTTCTTGGACTTCAACCCTCTTAAATCTTAATATGAGTAGGGACCTCAGGGTATCCTCTTCTTTAAGGGTCTTGTATAAGTGGCCTAATAATTCACTTCTACTCTCAATAGAATGTGGGACACTTATTTTATTCTTGGCCTTTTGGAGCATCTTTCAAAATATAGACAAAGAAAGTCCCATTTTAAATCTTGTTACAAATAAATGATGCTCACTTTAGCCTCAACCACAGCATTTAAGGGCAAGGAGCCCTTCAATCAGCTAGATAGAAATGTCTGTGGATGTGAAAAATAACCACTCAGCAGCTATCTTGCAAATAACCAAAAATGCAAAGAAGGCATTCAGGAGGTAAAACAGATGGGGATAGGGTTAGCCAGCACATGTGTGGATATAATTCACAAAACAGGACAGAAGTTATAGCTAAGATGTAAGAAATCAAAGCCCTAACACATATGCAGTCAGGAGACACAGTACCCAAACCAGAGCTAACAATTAGATTCACTTTCTGCAAGAAACATGCAGCAGAAAGATAAAAAGTCCACCTGACTAGGAGTGGGACAGCAGGGCTCTGCAAGTAGCAGTCAGGAGAAGTATCTAAGAGCTTAGATTCTGGACCCAAGGAGAAAAAAGTTTTAATTTTTAATATACTCTCTAGCTGTTTGAACTTGAGCAAGTTATTAAGCTTCACTCAGCCTCTGTTTCCTTATCCATACAATGTAGATCATGTAGAGTAATGAATGGCCTGAAGAGAAGTCCACTGTTCATGTAATAGTTTTATGGAACAAGCTGTATTAAAGAGGATGTAATCATGAAGCAAGTTTATTTCAATCAAGCATCCCCCTCTATCCCACACCGAGGGCTAGTTCTTTCCTTTTACTTGATGGATGGACATCTTGGGCAAGTCCCACAGCTTTTCTGGTCCCTTTGAATCCCAAGAAGAATCTCATTTTAGTTACAAAATATTCTAGCATGATGAAATTATTCAGATTTTAAGGTGAATTATATGTAAAACTTCTCACCTTCCCAGCTCAGTGCTTCTTTAGGTCTGGAAGTCTGCAGTGGGATGGGGCCTTCCTCAGCTGCTACCTACCTTCCTGCCTTTTTCTCTCTCCTCCCCCACTCACTGACCCTTTCCAATCTGGATAATGAGGTATGATTGGGGAAAAAGGCACAGTGTAAAGTGGCCTTTACACTCTTGACCTGTACTAGCACCTCTGGTCTTGGAAGCCATTCAAAACTGACTGCTTCTCTCATGGGGCATTTTTGTCATTGTTTTCAGAGATTCCCTTACTGAGAACTTTCAGCTACAGCCTGATGGAAGCACGCAGGCTTCTTCTCCTTCTGGCTGATTATAACCTCTCTTCCTCAGCCTTGGATATCCAGTAGGTCTCTTTGGCTGTGTCTCTTTGCTTCCACCCCTACCCCAGAGATTTGGAAGACAGCTACGTGGCTAAATGACTGGAAGAGAGCCATATTTGTACCCATCAAAGAAAGGTGATCCCACAGAATGTGGAAATATCATTAATATCACACACAACTAAAATCTTACTGAAGATAATTCAAAAATGATTGCAGCAGTATATTGACAGAGAACCTCCAGAAGTGCAAGCTAGATTCAGAAGAGGATGTGGAGCAAGGGATATCATTGCTGATGTCAGATGGATCTTGGCTCAAAGCAAAGAATACCAGAAAGATGTTTACTTGTGTTTTATTGACTATGCAAAAGCATTTGATTGTGTGGATCATAACAAATTGTGGATAACATTGAGAAGAATGGGAATTCCACAACACTTGATTGTACTCATGAGGAACCAGTACATAGACCAGGAGGCTGTTGTTCAAACAGAACAAGGGGACACTGCATGGTTTAAAATCAAGAAGGCAATGTGTCAGTGTTGTATCCTTTCTCCACACTTATTCAATCTATATGCTGAGCAAATAATCTGAGAAGCTGGACTATATGAAGAAGAATGGGGCATCAGGATTGGAAGGAGAATCATTAACAACCCGCGATATGCTGACAACACAACATTGCTTGCTGAAAGTGAGGATGACTTGAAGCACTTACTGGTGAAGGTTGAAGAATACAGTCTGCAGTATGGATTACATCTCAATATAAAGAAAACAGAAATCCTTACAACTGGACCAATAAGCAACATCACGATAAATGGAGAAAAGATTGAAGTTGCCAGAGACTTCATATTGCTTGGTTCTACAATCGACACCAATGGAAGCAGTAGTCAGGACGTCAGATGACAAATAGCACTGGGCAAATTGGCTGCAAAGAACCTCTTTCAAGTGCTGAAGAGCAAAGATACCTCTTTGAGGACTAAGGCGCACCTGACACAAGCCATGGTATTTTCAATCACCTCATATGCATGTTAGAGCTAGGCAATAAATAAGGAAGACCAAAGAAGAGCCAAAGCTTTTGAGTTGTGGTATTGGCAAAGAATGCTCAAAGTACCACAGACTGTTAAAAGAACTGACAAATCTGTCCTGGAGGAAGTGAAGCAGGAATGCTCCTTGGAAGTGAGAATGACCAGACTTCGTCTTACATATTTTGGCCATGTTATCAGAAGGGACCATTCACTGAAGAAGGAGGTCATGCTTGGTATGGTGGAGGGTCAATGAAAGAGGGAATGGCCCTCAACAAGATGGTTTGACACAGTGGCAGTGGCGATGGGCTCAAGAAGATGGATTGACACAGTGGCAGTGGTGATGGGCCCAAGTATAGCAAGGATCGTGGAGCTGGCGCAGGATTGGGCGATGTTTCATTGTGCTGTGCACATAGGGCCGCTATGAGTCAGAGATGACTGGACGGCACTTAACAACTACCCCAGACAACCTTCTTTCAACAGCACTCTGGACAGATTCTCTCTAGCGTGTCCCATGAGAAACCTCACAGATGTACACATCCTTGGTCCCTACCATCTCCTCCAAGTGCAACATGCTCGCATTCTGTTCCTGTCCTGAATGTCAAGCCTGTCCAATGACCTTAAGATTTCCCATGCACATGTCATATACTTGGACCATGTGTTCTTCAACTTCTAGGACATACATATTAATCAAAGTGTTTCCCTTGAAAGTCCTCTCAACTGTGGAAGGAGGAACATGCAACAACACTCAGCTAAAGAAATTCTCCTCCAATTATTCAACCCCTAGTTTTCAAAGGCAAAACCATTCATATGGCCTAATCTAATTTAGCATTTCTTAGCAGGTCTTGCCTAGAGAGCCCAGTGTCTTGCAATAGGACATACGGTTTCTGCCATGTATCAAGAGTAGTCTAGCCTTTAGGCCTCTATCAAAACACTGCAACAAAAGTCATGCACCACTCTCCTTTTGCATCCAGTATTGCACCTGGCACATGAAAGTATGGAGACTCTATGCCCTTTTCTTTACACCCAAGACCTTAGGTAAGTCATTTAAGATCTGTGAGTCTATGTTTATAGCTGGATTTATATCTTTCTTGTCAACTTTATGGTTTTGTTGTAAAAAAAAAAAAAAAAAAAAAACCATGTCCTGCCTTATTTAAAAAAAAAAAAAAAAACTAGTCCTTGGGACCCCAAGGCCATCCTTTAAGGTTGAACTGAGTCTTTGGCTAGTCCCAAACCTCTTGACATCTTAGGATACAACATAAGGGTTGTTTGGGAATTTACTGAGCAGGCATCCAAGTAATCAAGCAGTAACCTATTCATACTAATGCAAACAGAATTACTTATGCAACGAATATTCTATTCGCAATTGTCATACAAACTCCTCTACCTTAAAAAAAGTACAAAGGACTTAAAATCAAAGACCTGAATTCACACCCTAACTTTCCACTCCTTAGCTGTGTGACTTTGAGTAAGGCACTTAACCACTATGAGTTTCTTTAGCCTCATCAGTAAAACAAGAAATAATAATACCCATGCCATAGAGAAGAGCCCTTGGGAGGCACAAATGGTTAAGCACTTAACTACTAGCCAAAAAGTTAGTGCTTTGAACCTGCCCAGAGGTGCCTCAGAAGAAAGACAATCTGCTTCTAACAGGTCCAAAACCCATTGCTGTTGAGTCGATTCAGACTCATAGTGACCCTATAGGCAGAGGAGAATTGCTCCAAAGGGTCATCAAAGCTATAAATCTATAGAAGCAGACAGACTGCCTAATATTTCTCCCACAGAGTAGCTGGTGGGTTCAAACTGCTGACCTTTCAGTTAGCAGCTGAGTGCTTTAACCACTATGCCACTAGAGCTCCTTCTGATGGGTCACAGCCTTGAAAACCCCTATGAAGTGCAGTTCTACTTTGCACACTTGAGGCAGTCAGCTCAATGGCAGTTAACAACAACAACAACAACAACAAGGGTAATTGTGAAGAGACATCTAGCAAGATGTTGCAGCAACGACAGCATCACAAAAGCAATGATTTCTTGAGCATTTGCTACTTGTCAGGTACTTTATAGTATATTTATATTTATTAAGTACTTTATATTTTTTATCTTATTGAATTCTCACCTTAACCATAAGAAGTGGATACATTTTACAGATAAAGTCACTGAAGCACACACGGCTAAGTCACCTGTCTAAATAACTAATCTAGCTAATAAGGAGGCCCTAACAAAGTGTTCCTCCCTTCACTTTTTCCATGTTGCACTATGATGAAAATCCTGGACTTAAAGAAATTAGCAATACTTACTGGGGGTTCATCGGTTCCAAATCGCCAGTATGTTGAATTACACAGTTTTTTTACAGTTTCAGGACTCTCTATATCATAATCTTTGGGAAAAGCTTCTCTGTCATGGTGCCTTTAGAAAAAATTCAGAGTCCAGTAAGGGATAAATCTTATTTATCATGTATAGCACTTAAATTTTCTAAGTGATACAATGAAAAGTTACCGTAATTGTAACATTATTTTAATTGTAAATCAACTAGATTTGTAACACACCAAGTATTTTCCATCTTTTTTTCTTCAAGTAATGATAAGGTTACTTCCTAAAAACAATCAGTTCAAGTGAGAAAACTAATAATATGTCTAAAACAAGACTTACCCAACAGTAACTTATTCAGTTACTCCAAAGAGCTGGATCTTATTTAATAATGTAGAATAGTTACTGAAAGTATATCCTAAAATAAAACCTGGTAACATATTAGAAAGGCACCTTACCACTTAGGAATTCTTTCTACTACAAATTTTAATTACCATGTTTTTTCCCAAAAGGAGTGGAATAGTAATATATTTGCTCATATTGATTTATACCCTGAGCTTCCTACTTCTAAAGAGGGTCTAAAGGAAGCTGACAGTTAAACATGACCTAGAGGAGGAAAAAAAGTACTTGAAAAATGTAGGTGGAAGAGGAAAAATATATTCCACATACCTTGACTAATTAGTGGTTAGGAATAATAGAAGGGCCTGGGTAGCTAATGATTCATGCATTGGCTGGTAACAATCAGGGTGGAAGCTTGAGTCCCCCCAGAGATGGCTCAGAAGTAAGGCTTGGTGATCTACTTCTGAAAAGTCAGCCACTGAAAATCCCACAGACCACGGTTCTACCCTCACACGCACAGGGTCGTCAGGAGTCAGAAGCAATTTCATGGCAACTGGGAAATGGTGCCTTGCTATGAGTGTACGGATGAAGCGGAAGGCTAAAACCAGAACCAAACCCACTGCCATCAAGTGGATTCTGACTCAGTGACCCTCCCACTGGGTTTCGGAGGCGGTAAGGAGGTAAATCTTTACAGAAGTAGGTTGCCTCATCTTCCTTCCGCAGAGTGGTTGGTGGGTTTGAACTGCCAATCTTCTGGTTAGCAGTCAAATGCCTTAGGCACTGCGCCCTAGACCTCCTTAAGAAGACTACCAGTTATTATTTCCACATCTCATCCCCACAGCCAACTTCTTTGTTAGGCATGATAGGCGTGTGCCTTGGGTCCACAACACTTCTAGAGACTCACAATCAGACTCAGTGACTAAAAATGTTTTTAATTTTTTTTATCAGAAAAATGAAATGAATATAACCCAACTTGAATTATATCTACTTTATACCAGTACAGTCATAATATATCAGAGCTCTGGTAGCATAGTGCCTAAGGCACTTGACTGCTCACCAGAAGGCTGGCGGTTCAAACCCACTAGCCACTCCTCGGAAGAAAGGTTGGGCAATCCTACTTCCGTAGTGATACTGCCTCGGAAACCCAAGGAGGGGTCGCTATGAGTCAGGGCTGACTCGACGGCAAACAACAACAACAACAACAACAATACTTTTTTTGGAGGACAGGTCCCATGAAGCAAAGAGTGCTAAAAAAAAAAAAAAAACCAAACCAAACTCACTGACTTCAAGTCCGCTCCGACTCATAGCCACCCCTCCTTGGGTTTCCGAGGCGGTATAACTACGGAAGTAGATTGCCCAACCTTCTTAGGGCCCACAAAAATCAGAATGTGCCTCTGATTACCTCATGACATATTTTAAATTTTATTTTAACTAGATTCTTTTAAAAGATGTAGATATGTTCTTTTTCTTATACAAACGTAGACAGGAGCCAAGAACAGAGCATTAAAAACTTGAATCCGTAATGAAAGTGTTTCTTTGAGAGACTGAGCTAATGCAATCTGGCATTCCCTGACGTCTGCTGCTACCCACTGATGGCGTGCCCACAGCCTGCCAGTCTCCAACAGATACACAGCCACCAAAAGAGACCTGCTCCTACTTCCAAATGGTAGTACAAAAATAAATACAGTAAACATGATTAGGGTATTACCCAGAGGCCTAGTTAATTCACTGTCTTTATTATATTATACTATATGAACATTTGTTTGTGCCTCAGTTTCCCCTGAGATGAACTGGAAATCATACACTAAGGAAAGAAATGAATCAATGTATTGAGAGTCTCAAATGAAAAAATGACATATAAATGGAAAATATTAATGTGTCTATCCATAATATTTTAATTTGATATTTTAAATGCTTTATCAGTACTGAGTAAGCCATACAGCATCTGTGTAAACTACGAATAGCAAAATGCATAAAAATAATCAAGGTGTAATAGTATATGTATCTCAGAAGGAAGGTTTGGCAATCTACTTCCGTAGTGATACTGCCTCAGAAACCCATGGAGGGGTCGCTATGAGTTGGGGCCGACTCGACGGCACATAACAACAACAATATATGTATATATACTTTATATAGGCTCATTTCCTTGCTATAGACATTTCCTTACAGTCACCACACAACTTGTCATGGCTTGTCATTTATTACAATAAAAAATTCTTTATAATAAAAAAAATCAATAATATGAAAAACAATTTATAATGACTCTGGAACAGTAACTTTCAAACGTTTAGATCATAGCTTCCAATCAGAAAAACATGGCACATCTTAATCCAGAGTACATATATGTATATTTCTATGCATAAAATTTCTCGGAAAGAAGGTTGGACAATCTACTTCTGTAGTGATACCGCCTCAAAAACCCAAGGAGGGGTGGCTATGAGTCGGGGCCAACTCAACTGGCACATAATAACAACAACAACAATGTGCATGAAACTGAGACTTAACTTTCTCTTTACCTTTAAATTAACTTGGGTATCTTCTATTCTCTTTTATTCTATTGCATTTTTTAAAGTGCTGTTAACAACCCACTAAACTGAGTTCAGAACTTATTGATGGGTCAGGACCACAGTCCAGAAAATACGGCTCTGGATCAGTAGTTCTCAGCCTGGGTGGGAGGGCATCAATTAGATCAATTTAACAATGACTGAAGACATTTTAGTTGTCCAGCTGGCAGAAGGAGTTGTATACTACTGGCATCTATTTGACACCTAGTGTATAAAGGTCATGGGTGCTACTAAACATCCTACAGCAAAAGAATTATCAAGCCCAAAACATCAGTCTTGCGAGTCTGAGAAACCCTGGCCTACGGGATAGGTGCATACTAGCCAGACTTGATGAGCAGTGGTTCCTAGACATAAGTGCTTCACGGAGCAGCAAATCTGCCCTCCAGCATGGGATGGATAAACATAAAGTTATCAACTTTTTTGACAAGGACATTCAAAACAACATAGTCTTCTAATTGCTTTAATAAAAGGACCTCTAATAACAAAGGAAACTGTACTACTAAGAGGTGCAAACAGTTGAAGTTCTCAGCTGCTAACCAAAAACTTGGAAATTCAAGTCCATCCAGAGGTGCCTTGGAAGAAAACCCTAGCAATCTACTTCCAAGACATTAGCCATTGAGAACTCTATGAAGTTTGTCTCTGACACACATGAGGTCAGCATAAGTTGAAATCAACTTGACAGCAACTGATTTGACTGGTTTTAAGACCAAAGGTTAATAAAAACAACCTGAGCCCTTTAAATGGAATATATGTAGCTATATGGAAACTAGCTACATTGTGTTGATGGGTTGTGTATCACCTTGTATTAGAAAAAAGGACTAGTCTTACAGACTGGCTTCCCAGATATTAATTTACCTAGATAGGTATAGCTAAGGGAGACAAACTTGTCTGTAAATTTGTCATCCTCTGAGGCTTGTATGTTCCTGTGGGGCTTGAGGCTGTGCCACTGGTGTTTCAAAGGTCAGCAGAGTTGCACATGGTGTACAGGTTTCAACACAGTTTACAGACTAAGACAGACTAGGAAGAAGGAGGAGGTCATCCACTTCTCAAAAATTGACCAGGGAAAACCTTATGAGTATCAGAGAAACACTATCTGATACATTACTGGGCAACTTTATGAATAGCCCAGAAACATTGTCTGACACAGTGCAGAAAGATTAGCCCCTTGGGTTGGAAGGCACTCAAAATAGGCCTGGGAAAGAGCTGCCTTGTTACAGTAGAACCAAGCTTAAGGATATGGATAAAGTAAGTCTTTCAGGACCTCCATGTGCTGACGTGGCACAACTCAAATTGAGGAGAAACAGCTGCAAACATCCCTTAATACTCGGAACATGGAATGTACAGAGTATGAATCTAGGAAAATTGGAAGTTGTCAAAAATTAAATGGAACATAGAAAGATTGATATCCTAGGCATTAGTGAGCTGAAATAGGCCGGTTTGGACCATTTTGAATCAGACAACCATATGATCTACTATGCCGGACATGACAAATTGAAGAGGAATGGCATGGCATTCATCATCACAAAAGATGTTTAAATATCTACCTTGAAATACAATGCCATCAGTGATAGGATACTAACCATATGCCTACAAGGAAGACCAGTTAATATGACTATTCAAATTTATGCACCAACCACCAAAGCAAGAGATAAGGAAATTGAAGATTTTTAGCCATTTCTGCAGTCTGAAATTGACCAAACATGCAATCAAGATGTGTTCCTTATCACTGGTGATTGGAATGCAAAAGTTGGAAACAAAGAAGAATCACCAGTAGTTGGAAAATTTGGCCTTGGTGACAGAAATAACACTGCAGATTGCATGATAGAATTTTGCAAGACCAATGACTTATTCATTGCAAATACCTTTTTTCAACAACATAAATGGCAGCTATACACATGGACTTTGCCAGATGGAGTACATAGGAATCAGATTTACTACATCTGTGGCAAGAGGCAATGGAAAAGTTCAATATCTTCAGCCAAAACCAGGCCAGGAGCTGATTGTGGAACAGACCATTAACTGCTCATATGCATATGCAACTTCAACTTGAAGTTGAAGACAAAACAAGTCCATGAGAGCCAATATATGATTTTGAATGTATCCTTCCTGAATTTACAGAGCATCTAAAGAATGGATTTGATGCATTGAACACCAGTGACCAAAAACCAGGAGAATTGTGGGATGACATCAAGAGCA